AGGGAAAGAAACACATTTTAAAACATATGTTATGAAAATTTCAGAGCTACATGGAAAATAATTCTTATGACAAAGACATAAGCAACAAGTGGCTTAGAGAAAAGCTGGGAAGGAAGGGTGAGTTCTAATACATTCAAACTCAGATACCTACCATTGCTTTGTTTTGCTTTATATTTAAAGCCCTTTTCTCCAAAAAATTCATGCCACTTTCATCTTCTGAATCAGAATTGCAATCGGTCACAGAATTCTCTGAGGGTTCGGAGGGCACTGCTCTCTCATTGGCTGCTCCCCTGGTGTTTCGAGTTGGAAACTTCATGGCCACCCGGAGAGGTCCAGAACTTCTGCACTGACTGCGGGTCCGACAGCCCGTGTGGTCTGCCTGCAGCCTCTAGTCAATCAGAACAAGTGAGGCATTAATGACTTGCTGATTGTTGCACAGTCTGCAAGAGTATGACTACAAAATATGCCTTTGGAACAAAAAAAGCTTGCAGCAAATACATCTGCACTGAACACTTTAATTGTCAAGTTTAATTGACAGCTCTGGGTAACAAAATCAAGAATTACAAATAAATACAGCAACCTGAGTGTAGTTTAACTCGGGGAGCCTACCTGAGACACATTGTTATAAGCCACCTTCACAGTCCCTAGGCCAGTGGTTTTTTTAATGTGAAAATCCCAGCTCCCTTTTTCATTTCTTTAAAAATAGAATCTTTATGCATTTTTAAAAGAACTCCCCTAGGAGTAAATATGTGTGCTCTCATAAATATGATTTCAATGCTTATGGCAATACTAAACTTTATTAAAAGATGCCTCGATGCTCTGTACTACTTTTTTTAAAAACTAGCAAATTATATGTAACATAAACTTTTCACTTGAACCATTTTTAAGTGTACAGTTCAATGACATTAAATACATTCATTGTTCTGCAACCATCACCACCATCCATCACCAGAACTTTTTCATCTTCACAAACTGAAACTCCATACTCATTAAACAATTACTCCCCACTCACCTCCCCCTCAACCCCTGGCAACCACCATCCTACTTTCTGTCTCTATGAGATCTGACTACCTCCCTCTCTTATCCACTTTTTGTAAGCCTAAAATTTTTTAAATCTCAGATTCCAAAAGTAGTATGTTTCCATCATTTAAAATGTATTAAAATTAGCCACTGAGGAAATGCAAATCAGAATCACAAGACATCACTTCCCACCCACTAGCAGAACCAAATCAATAAGTACAGCAAGGATGTGGAGAAACTGGAACCCACACACCCACTCTGGTAGGACTGTAAAATGGTGCCGCCACTTTGGAAAACAGTCTGGCGGTTCCTCAAAAGGTTAACCATACAGACTATATGACTCAGCAATTCTACTCCTACTGAAGAGTGTATGTCCATACAAAACCCTGTATGCACACGTTCATAGCAGCATCAGTCCTAACAGCCAAAAGGTGCCAACAACCGAAACATCCATCAACTGATGAATGGATAAATAAAATGTGGTATATTCACACAGTGGAATATTATTCAGCAATAAAAAGATATAAAGTACTGGCACATGGAAGAACTTTGAAAACATTATGCGAAGTGAAAGAAGCCAGTCACAAAAGACCACATATTGTAGGGTTCCACTTCTAGGAAATGCCCAGAATAGGCAAATCTATGAGAGAAAATAGATTAACGGTTGTCAGGAACTGAGGATATTGGGAAGGGATGCAAAGTGACTGCTGATGGGTACAGCATTTCTTTTTGGCGTGACAAAAATACTCTGAAATTGACTGTGGTGATGGCTGAAAACAAACAGAAAGAGAGATGAAAAAAATACCAGCCATAAAGTCCCAGAAACGGAAGACTCATTTTTTAACATTCCAAAATCCCCACCGCTTTTTGTACTCTTCATATATTTTTAGTGTGCATGGGTTGAAAGATATAAAATGACAAAACTTTTATCAGTTCTTAAGCCTTTTAATCATTGGCATTTTATCAATCGCAACAAATAGCATCTACAAAGAACTGAAACATTGCCCAGAAATGATTCAGGCTATAGACAATGTTGGGTGACATCCAGATTCGCAGATCAGCCCCTGCCAATAACTCCAATACATACTGATTTAGACCAACATCACCTCTTAGAGGAAATATTACATTATCATGAAGTTAGACAGTGATAAGCACTCGCTGGTCAGGCGTTCTCACTTATGTCAGTGCCGCTCAAGTGTGGTCCCAGGCAGTGGACCCGTGTCAGACCACAATGAGCTAAAGAGCACGCACCTGACTGCAAATCAACAGTTTGTCGAGAAAGTCTTGCTAACAGAAAAACGTGTGCAGAAGTAACCAGCATGCTCGGGAAGAGCG